CATACGGCGCTGGTATCCTCGCCACTGAGATCCTGGACATGCTGCAGTTTGGTGAACTCGTAGGGGCCCTTGTTAGAGGAAGATGCTTTAATTTTGATATTCTGTTCGGGATTCATAGCATCCACGATATCAGCCACATCCTCTTTGTGGCGAGCATGTGACACCTCCGACGCAATGGACTTGGCTTTGTCCACAGTCTTGCGCATGGTGCTACCAAAGAAACGCTTAATGCGCGCAGTTTTCTTCTTAAGTCGACTGCCATCCTCCGTTTCCAGCTCCTCCTCATCCGGCTGTTGACCCTCAATGCTAGGCGGTATGCCAATTACGCTTTCCTCATCCGATTCCTTTTGTATGACCTCCAGATGTGAGGTCAGCTTCAGTATATGCAACGAGAGCGGATTCCAGCCCTCAGGCACTGGCGGTGAACGCACTTCAGATAGCGGCATATTCTCGCCGGTATCCAGATTCTTAACAGGAACTTGTTCGAGTATTTCAAAGTCCGTCAGCTGTTTGCCCGAATTAGTGCGAGTGCGCACATAAATATTCATCTGCCTCAGCACATCCTCGTCTCCAGCGGACTTGCGACGCTCCTTCTCGTTGGCAGCCCTATATAAGGCCGTATAGCTGTGAAGCGAAAAAGGGATATAAGTTAAAGCCTTTGTAATAACATTTAAGGCAGTTGTCGAAACGAACTTTAGCAATAAGTGACTAGCAATAGATTATCTGTAAGATATATACGATATTTAAGATATATGTTTAACTAACTTCAGGCACATCCTCCAAGTCTTGTACATTATATACAGTTCAAACGGATTGCTGCGAAGAAAGCTCGAAATATGTACATTAAATTTCACTCAACTTAAACTAAAGTTCATTTGTTATGCCTTGATATTGTTTGGGAATGGACGAGGTATTATTACAAAGCAATAATACTGTCTGATTTCGAGTGTCCCTATTTGCTTTTTGGCTAGTTTGTTATCTACTTGTTTATATCCTGTTCTATAAAAAACTATTCACACACGCCATTTTTTTATATTAATCTTCCCCTAAGCCATGCTAATCCATTCCCTCTCTCTTTGTATTTGCTTAAACCTACCGTGTGGCACTGCCCAAGCTATTGGAGCCACTGCCCGCCAGCTTGGGTCGACTAGCACTCTCCATAAGCATTTTCTCAATGCGCTCGATTTCATCTTGAGATGGTCCTTGCGCCTTGTTGCTTGCCTCATCGCGCGGCTTAACCACATAACCACCTTGTATGGCCTTGAACAGATTAAGGCCCTGATTGGGATCGATCGAGCTGCAAGCAAAATAAACTATTAGCTATATATTACTATATAGATATATGGATTGATTACTCACCTGACGCGACCCGGTGCTGAGTTGCTCTTGGCCGAGTTCGAGGGACTTGGTTTCGAGTAGACGGACGTGACGCTGTTGCCCAGCGAATGTGATGGCTTCATCATGATGCCTGCCGTTGAGACAGGTCGCACATGACACGCATGACTTGTGGAGGCCATTTGCGCCAGCGACGAAGGAGTCGTGGTGGCCGTGGAAGCGGAGGCAGACACAATCGTGCTAGTTGAGGAGCAGGTGAGCGTATTATTCGACGTGTTGTTGCTGACATCATTTAGCGAACTTTCGAACTGCTTGACAATGTCGTCGCGTAGCTGTTGCTGCACATCCCGCACGCTTTGCACGGACCGCGTATCGCTATCGGTATCCTCCGTATCAGCTGCTGGCAATCGCATGCCATCGTTCATGTTGAACTGCTCCGAAGAGCTGCTGGAGAATTTGCGTGATTTTTTCTTGCGTCGCGGCGGCGCCACTGGCCCGCTCGATGTAATCGAGTCGGTTGTCTTGGAGTGTGCCAATTTAGTGCTGGCTATCACATCCGGCTCTTGGAGAATCTGGGGAGGATTTGCAGCAACTGCTGCGTCGCCCTGTTGCACATACTTCGCAGTTGATGCTGATGCTGCGTTCACAACTGTTGTAGCTGTGGACATGGCCATTGTTGTGGTTGTGGGCGGCGGTGTCTGTCGCAGATGCTGCTGCTGTTGTTGCTGTTGTTGTTGCTGTTGCTGCTGCTGCTGCTGCTGCTGTTGTTGTTGGAGCTGCAGCTGCTGCTGCTGCTGTTGCTGGGCATTCATTGAGGCCAGCGATTCACGATCAACGCTGATTGCTATGTGAAAACAAATGATTGTTGTGTGTGAGTGAATTCGAAATGGTTACTATATGCGTGCTCACCTGACGGATCGATGCTGCCCGCCAAGATGCGACCCACACGGCCCAATGATGTCATGCTCTGTATGCTCATTGTATCGCTCTCAATGACCTTAAACGGATGTGTGGGTCGGTTGGTAAAAACGCCATCCATGGAGCTGTTCTGTGGTTTGGATTAAATAACAATAAAATTAGCCAAGCATTACACAAACAAAGCAAAACAAAAGCAAAGAATAACCAATAAAAAAAGATGCTAAAGCTGAGCTTTATATATATACAAATATATATATATATTTACGGATAGAAGCTAAAGGCTACAATTTTGATTTTGATAAATAGATATAATACCTGAGAATCAGGTGTGAGTGTATTTCCTGGATTATCATCTTCATCATGGTTCATGCATTTACGTAGTTCTTGAAAGCGTTGTCTACCAGACTATATGGCACGATATACATATACATATACATATATATATATATTTAATTGATATCATTTTTTGATTTAATATATACATCATATTTATAATTTAAATTTGTGTTCATAATTCATTTAATTTGTATTTGTTTTTGTTGTTTCAATACCAAATGCGCACAAAATATGAAAATAAAAAGCAAAATACAAAGAAATTAAGCAATATGTAAAGTAAATAGATGATAAAATAAATAAACTTTAATTACTTATTCAAGCTAAGCAATGGGCCTAGTTCCGCCTGAAACTGGGCCGCAAATTACGTATATTTTGTTGTTATCAACATCAACATTTGCGGAACACACGACGCTATTTGATAAGAGCTAGTACCTTACCTTCCTCCCAGCCCCCTTAATAGCCAACAGCCGACCTTCACAATTAGTATATATATTGCGAGTAAAATGTGAATGAAAACGCAGGTGTCGCGTTATAGGCCAAACCCTGACCGAAAATAATCATGAATTGTTATGTAAAACAGAAAAATGATAAATAATACACACCTGATAAAAGCTCGAAGCAAGAATTATTATCAGTAATAATGATGATAAGGCAGAACTTTGATAATTAGCGCGCTAATCAGAGCGCGGGGCAACAGTAAAATAATTTGCAAGCTCTTCAATTCCAATAATTATATAAATAGTTAACAAATCCCTGGGCACAAATCAAATTCATTTACATCTTGCCAAATAAATAAATTGGGTGAAATACAAAAACAAGTCAACAAGTGGCATATAAAAATATTTTATGAAATCAACAAAATGCCTTAATAGACGTTTCAATTTATACATGTATATGTATATACATATATGTATATATATATATTTACATATATACGAGATGAGCTACAAGAAGAGCTATAAATAGGTATTAAAATGTGATTGATGAGAAATGAAAGTTTTCGCTGCATGGCCAATAAAATATTGTTTAAATATGCACAATCGAACATAATCATATTAAAAGAAAACTCTCGACTGTCAGCACCGAAATACTAAACTCATTAAGTAGCCCTCGCGGCTGACCGCCCGATGACAAACTGCGGCAAACCTCTGACAAAGCGACGCGATTCACAGGGGCGCAAACATGAATTATAAAAACAAACATAAAGCAAATGGGTAGCTTGAGTAATAGAGAAACCCATATGAGTATGGCAGTGGGGACAGAGGGCCGGGGCAGATGGAAGGGTAAATTAATTTGTTTTGTTTTGCCTCATTTTTGGGGGAAGCGCAGTGAAATCGGCACATTGAAATTTGCATTGATTTTTTTCTTTCGTTTTTTTGCGTACAGTGGGCAACAGAGTTGAAAAGGGAAAACGCGAAACGTGTCAAGAATTTGTAATGGGTACGAACGGTTGGCTCTAGAGAGGAATACGTATGACAACTGAACAGCTAACATAACGTTTTGTATCTTTAAGGCATGCCACTCAAATCAGAGCAAAAATCAAATTATGCCTCCCACTCACCGCACTTACCACGCCCTTCACTGGCTTGGGCTCGACGAAAATGCCAGCTGCGGCAGCAGCGGCGGCTGCAGCCGCATCCTGTTGCTTAAGCCGAGCGCTTAGACTATTCGTCGGACTGCGGGTGGCAGGAGTGTTGGCGCCAATGGGCGTTGCATCGCTGTCCGAAGAGGCGGCCGCATTTACACGCACCGCTGGCTCCGGAAAGATAAACTCCTGTGCGCAATCCGCTGGCAATTTACGACTGCAACAACAACAAAAGAAAACGAAAGAGTAATACACGCGTCGTTAGGGTGAGTCACTGTATGAGTCGGAGGGGCTAAATGGGGGGCTCCACCTACCAGAGAGTTGAGGCGCGATTAGGTGTTGTGTCTTCGGCATCGAAAAATTCCTCAGAGCTGTCTGAGTCCGTTTCCAGTTTGCTCATTTTGTGTTTGCTGTGCGTGAATTACCTAACTCGCTTTCTGTTTCGTTTATTTCTTTAATATGCAAATTGACCAAATTATGTTTTTTGTGTGTTGTTGTTTTTGTATTGTTGCTGCAGGGCTCTCGATGCTGTTGTTGTTATTACTGGTGCTGCTGGTGTTTCGGCTCCTAGTTTAGCGTCATTTCGTGGTGCTGCGTGAGCGCAACAATCTCTCTATTTAACATATTGTAGGCATTGCTATTTTATGTGTTTCACTTTAAATTTAATTATTATTAATTTAGTTTTACGCCCGAGAAAAGGTTTGTTCTGTTGCATTGACTACTTAAATGTGTTGGAAAACGCAGCAAAAATACCACAGATTACAGTGATGCCCGACTATCGATTTAACTTATCGAATTGCGGCTGTGAATGGCAATTACAGCTGTTAAAAGAAACATGTTATCGTGTTCCCGCCAAAATACCATTAATAGAAAAGTTGTTTACGAATCGTAACTTAATATTTTTTCGAATTATACAGACGTTAAATAAATGGAAGCCGAACTCCAACAGCAATTTGATGAAATGGGGATTGAGCCGAGTGCCCAAGTTTTGCAAAAATGCGCAGAGCTCGCGCTCACGTATTGCGTTAATGATGCTACCGAATTTGTGGAACAATGGATGGCATTCAGTTTGTCCCATTTGCACGGAGATGAACCGGCAATCGATAATCTTGGCGAATTCGAACGCAAGGTGCTACAAATAAAACGAGAAAAGGTCGGCGCCAAGAAGACAGCAAACTACGCCAAATCCCAATCTACTGCATTGGAATCAAGTTCTTTAGCCACCTACGGTCTGGTGGAAGATGATCCCTTGATGGATGATTATGTGGACAACTCTGGGTCCCCACAGCCTAAGACTCCCAAAACGCGAAATAAACAGGGTCGGTTGAAGAGTGGCATGGTATTCAGCCCAGCCAGCTTCACGCCACAATCGGCAAAGAGAACTCCAGCTGCGGACACAACAAGCACAAATGGAAAACCTGGAGATATTGTGGACACATTTGGTCATCCCAAGCTTATAACCGCCTGTACGTGGCAGTCAAAGATCGAGCAAGCACTGCCAGTAGTTCAGAAATTGCTTCACAATGATGTACCATTGACAATCGCTAATCTCAGGTATATGAACGATCTGCTCTACGACAGATGCGATGATCTACACGATCGTGTCGTGGATATTGGCCAGGCGTTGGTGGACAAAAAGCTGGGCAGCATAGGTGCTGCCGAATGTAGCTGGTATCCGCAGGACAGGCACACACTGGACGCACTCCACGTACTCCATGCCGTGGGCATGATACATTCCGACGATGATGGCCCACTGGATGCGCACTCCGCTCTGCTAGCCGTGCTCAATACAGATGAGAAATGCCTGGCTCTGAACTTTTCACAAATCAAGTCGGCTAGCATATTTCCTGGACAGGTGGTGCTAGCCAAAGGATTTATACCACGTGGCGACACTTTTGTGGTGGAGGAGATTTACACAGATCGCAAACTGACGCCACCCCCTCCATTGAAAGTGGATCGCGATGTGCAGTTTGTAGTTGCTGCTGGACCGTATACCCACAGCACAGATCTATTCTATGATCCAATGCATCAGCTGCTCAAATATCTGCAGGAACACAGACCCGACGTCCTTCTGTTGACGGGTCCCTTCCTGGATGCCGAGCACACGCTTGTCGGCGAGTTGGCCGAGACCTTTGAGTCGTTCTTTGAGAAGATGATTGCGGGCATCATGGAGGCAGTGGGCAACAGTACCACAGTGGTGCTGATCAGCAGCCAGAAAGATGCAATGACTCCAGCGGTTTATCCTACACCCGCGCCAATGGTGCGAAAAACATATCCCAATTTACATATGCTGCCCGATCCCTCGCTGGTCGATCTGGATGGTATCACGCTGGGCGTTAGCTCTACGGATGTGGTGGACCATCTGCTGAGCCACGAGTTTGCCGCCAATGCGGGCGAGCGCATGCATCGCGCCATCAATCATCTGTTCAATCAGGGCAGCTTCTATCCGCTCTGCCCGCCTGCCGATGAGAACATGTCCTACGACTCACAGTTGGCGCAGAAATATGCACAGCTCAAGCAGCTGCCTAATGTGCTTATACTGCCTAGCGATCAACGGCATTTTATACGTCTGGTCAATGATTGTCTGGTCATCAATCCGGGGCGCTTGTCTGACAAAAAAGGCGGTACTTTCGCCCGTTTCCTGGTGACGCCAACAGCACCCACGGCCACATCCAATGCGAATATGTTTAATAGCGTCGCGTGTCAAGTTCAACGTATTTAAAGTTAATAAAATTCGAAAAAAACAACATTTGAGGTTCATTATTGCAAGAGGTTACTACAATATGATGGGAAATATTGGAGTAGATCAGAATGATGATCTGATGAACACTTATCCAGTTTCTTATTTCAACGTAATCTCTACTTAGAATGAAAGTTGACAATGAGTATTAAGGTTAAAGTCAAGTGAATAAACCAATAGTAATTTATATGATTTTGATCATATATATATACATATATTTTTTTTTTTTAAAGCGTTTATTCATTTAGGGTTTTGTCGTTTATAGCTAACAGTAGGAAATGATATCTAAACATATTACATATAATCGTATTGTACTTTCTATACTCTACAAATCATGTGTATTTGTATGTGTATGTGTTTGTGTGTGTGTTTATTTCACTATATCGAACTCAATTCGAAACATAGCGAAATGCTCTGGCATACAACTAAAATCTTTATTGTATATTTTAACTATACAAAAAATACTGCTGAAATCGTTTACAATATGATCTAAGCAAAACTGACCGGTCTCTCTCAGTTGCTGTTTGCAGATATATAATTCCTGTTTGTTTTTCTTGTTTTTTTTTTTTTATATTTTTAAGTATCTTCGCGCCACATTTGATTTAAGTAAATTCTGGCTTTCGCCGTTGTTCTTGGATTCGTGGAGCTGCCAACTACGACCGCCACGACGGCCGTCCAACAACTCCCGCGAAGCGCGTTCAGTTGTTGGGCTCCTGCTTGTATTGTTATTGCCGATTGTTGACGCCCTCAGGATTGTGCATACTAACACCGGGTACACTGCCCATGCTGTGCTCCATATTTTTTACAATCACATAGTTTGTCATGTGATTGATGGCCTCGTCCTGCAGCCGTTCCGGCCAACGTCTCATATAGGATTTAATGAAGTCGGCGAAAGCGTCTACTTTATCGGGCGTTGTCTTGTGTGTGTCCACAATGTTTTTTACAATGTCCACAAACTTGTCATAATCTTCGTGGGATTTTTTGATTTTATTATAGTTTGGCACACCGCCATTGGTATTGCCACCTGGACCGGCTCCACTCGCGCCGGCCGCATTCTGCATTTGCTGCTCCATGTTGCTGTCAGCAAGCCGCGCTGAGGCAGCTGCCGCTACAGCTGCCACCGCCGCCGATGAGGCCATAAAATTATCCACATTGCCCGCATTCGGCGGCGGCTGGGAGTGGTCCATAAAGTGGCGATGCATGCCATACTCCGTTCTGCAAACAACAACCAATTAATACTCATGAATATATATATGCTAAGATTTCGTTTACTTGTAGAACCCCTCCGTGTTGTTGCTATTGAACTCTTGCTGCGACATTGGATTTTTCCAAACTGGTGACTCGGATGTCGATGGTAAGTTGCTGGCATTCGAGGCGCTCGTCATGCGTTTGTCTCTGCAAATAGATTTGAGTTAGCCAAGGTTAAGTTTGATTAATTTTCATTTGTGGAGCTCACTTGTAACCGGTGTGTGCAGCCAAACTCTTGAAAACATCATCCACTTGGCTATAGAACTTCCACGTGCTAATGATGCCCGTTGTTTCAAATGTCTTTTGCTCCTGTCTATAACGTTGTGTTAGATTGTTAACCTTAAAGTGTACTTCAAGCGCGGTAACGGGTACGCCAAGACCCGTCAACTGAATGATCAAAACAGAAAAGGAACATTAAGTTCAATTAAAACTATATAAATAAAATTGTAATTTGCTGATTTGTATATTACTTACTTGCTTTGCCATAGCCACATAAAGGTGTCCATTTCGTTTGATTGTGCGCAATTCATAGGCGCAAACTTTCCATAGTTTAATTAGCTCTAGTACTCCACTATCCTCCCATTGTCGGCGCTTTTTGTTGAATTTTTCATACTATTCACAGAGTTGGATCAGGATTCAGTATAATATTCATCAATAATTCTGCTTTTGCATACTCACAGGCATTTCACATGGGTCTTACTTGCCACAAACAGTTGCCCAACAAAATTTGGCTGCGAATCGGAGCTAGACATGGAGCACGCTAATCAATATGGTAACATAATTGCACCTCAGAACAGCACCTGAAATATTTAAATCAATTAATAATGTTCTGGACTACAGTCAGAAGACTTAGAGCAGATATACCATCTTGATCATCATTTATATATTTTTTTTTCTTATATAAAAATGTTGGAATATTTATGAAAATGGAAAAATAAGGTTTCCTGTGCAACTTCTAAGTTCCTTTATGAAATTTAATCTACATGAGAAATTTATTATAACTAGTTTTTTTTATCCATTCTCCCACGTATTTATTTAAATAATGTAATATTCCAATTGTTATATAAAAATATACTCAACTATTGTAAATTTTTAAGATTAGTTAGTAGTTCTCGGATAAAGCATTCCATAGGATAGTAAAGTTAAAAGAAATCAGCGTTGGTTAAGATTTTGCTCATAATTTTTTTTTTTTTTGAATGTATCTAAATATTTAAGCTGGAAACGCGTTAATATTTTATTTATTGTACGAGGATTTTCATAAACTGAAAAGCGTTAACATTTAGAATCGAAACTCTCATGTTACAAAGATATTAAAATCACGGGGTAATTAATATGATTGGCCTTTGGCCTCAATAAGCCTACGTATACCTTAAAGTATTTACACTCTTTCTTCTGTTAACATATGTTTGCTTTAAGCGCGCGCACCTGATAGCTCTATCACATTGTTAGATAAATTATAATTTAAATCTTCCTTAATTCAGCTGATGCATTTTACATGTACATGTACTAATGAAGCTGAACGAACAACTAATTTAATTTCAGAGAATAGTAGACGGCACCTGTTTGAGTGATAATGATTATAATTCTAATAATGCAAGTATTTTCAATAATTATGTTTATATATACTTTTTGGCACATGAAAACACAAAAATCTGGCAGCGCTCTACATTTGTACACAGACTCACATACACACACGCATGTGTATGTACATAATTAAGAGTATTAGATTATCATTAAGCTATACACCGGCACATAATCACACACGCACACTCACATGCTATGCTCAATGCTAGTAAACAAAAGACGAAATGCAAGGTGTAAATGCACGCGTAGCGGGCACGAGACAACAAATACGTAGAAGCTAACGCGACGGCAACTCAAATTGTACTGAAGCGGTATTTCAAGTATACAAAAGCTGCGGCCAAATGAAGATGCTACAGCAACAACAACATCATCAGCAGCAGCAAGAATGACGACGATGTCGACGTTGCCGCTACATTGGCACTTGCTGGCCCGCAGTTGATGGGGCCAACAGCAGCAGCAGAAACAACAACAACAATATGAATACTATGTTGTTGCCCGTGAGGGCAAGAGATGGTTACTTTTCTTGAATACACACACGCGTACAACTACAACAGTTTTTTCCCTTTGCAAAGAATGAAGATACAGATACACACATACACATGTACAGGTACATACTTTTCCTTCGATTACGGCAAACGCAAGTTCAATGCTCATGAGCCGAGCATGAGGAGCAGCTGGTCGCGTAAACAGTGTTACAAACACAACAAGCACAACCCGAGCAAATCCAAAACTTAATAATAAGTTAAATAATTTAATTTTAATTATGTTCAAGAACACACACACGAAAAACGTAGTTAGCAGCTCAACTCGAGATATTTACCAACACTAATGATGGCAAGACACAACACGGCCATAATGATGTTCTACAAGCGAAACAGCAATAGCGCGCGCAACATGGTGTGAGCAGTGCAGCTAGTGTGCTTAGATACAGCGCAGCGTTGCCACCCTATTCATATATTGTGCAAAATATTTAAAATAAGGTTTGTGTGTGTGCACGTTAAAATGCGCCAAGCTTATTTTCCTTCAATAACGAAGACAATATGCCAATCAAACTAGTAAGCTGTTGGAAAATACATATGTACATACATATAACACAGCCACGCCCACAGCAACGTGAATGAATAATGATTTTTGCGATGCGCTCTAGCTTGATTTCAGTCATGAGCATGACCACGTAATTTATCTTAAGCGCGCCAGTCGGCAGCAATAGCTACAGCGGCAGCTCGTTAAGGCGAGCAAAGCAAACGCATTATCATCATCATCAACTGCGACTGTGGCAACCTTTTGTGTACTCCCCCTTCCCAGCCACTAATACTATGACGCGCAACTGCTATTGTTGGCGCGCACACAAACACAAGCATAAGCACAAGACACGCACACGCACACACACATTCACATGCGGCGTACGGCAGTCATCATCATTAGGTTAGATGCCGAGCGCTCCCCTCACTGCCTGCCTAGCACATATACTAAATGCGAACGTCATTAGCGTCGGTTAAATAACAAAAAATGATAATGTTGCTCTTTCATTTCGTTGTCGTCGTCATCAGGGTCGGTAATCATCATTAGATTGCACATAGAATGAACTTTAACTGTGGAGTACGCTTCCCGCAACAGGCAACTAGTGGATGAGCCATTGACATAGTATTTTGAATGGCAACCCAACAAAAATAAAAGCTGGCAATGGTTCGGTTCACGATGCGAACAAACGACTTCGTTCGCCGACGTGGTTCGTAATCAATGGCTTCGATTAAGCTATAATTACAACTATTAATTTTTTTTTTTAATTTAAGAATATATTTTATATGATAGTTTTAATATTGTATGCCATAATAATGTATGCTATGCGTTTAGTCACCCACCCAATAATATCTTTCCAGCCTGAACCGGATCAGTCCCAAGCCTGTTTTTGAATGCCTGGTTCTGTTATTCGGCGCAGAGGCTAAATGGTGATCCTGGAATGTGTTGTTCACCCCACTTGGCCACCAGAGTGTAGTCGCCGGGCTCCCGCACTTGGTACGTGACTCGGAATATATGCCGGCCGAGATGCTTGACCAGCACCTCATCACATGGCCCCTGCGGTCCCAGTATGCCTACAAAGAGCATATTACTACCGGCGGAACTGCCATCTACTGTGAACTCGTTCCGCTCAAGCAGATTGACATGGGTCAGACCCAGGCCGCGACTGTGAACTTTGCTGGCATCCGATTCGAAGCGGGACACTGCTTAGCATAAGTTAGAAATGTGAATACCTGAATATATTAGCCACTCACTTGCGGGACTGGATGCTGCATGTTCGCTCCCATCCTCAGCGGGTGTAGTCCCTCCAGCTATGGTGACTATAATGTAGGGCGACTTCGGCAACGGCACGGAATTGCACTTAATGTGCACCTTATATAGGCCCGCCTGTGCCAGCTGACACTCCACCTGAAAGCGTTCCGGATCGAGCTGTGTCAGCTGCAATGGCGCTCCATGCTGTCCGCTGGGTGTCTCGAGGCGCACATCAAAATTGCCCTTCACCCCATTGCGCTTGATAACGAAGCTAACCGTGGAGTTGATACGCACCGCACCGCTGGGCAAATGCAGCAGCTGCACCTTGCCCGCATCGGTCAGCTCGGGCGCTACATAGACATGCGGCGGCTCTGTGGGATACGCATCTGTGGAGGATTTATAAATAGCCAACGATCTGTATATGTTTACTTCCGCATGTGCAACACTCACCCGCATCGGGCGTGCGCTGGTATCGCCCAAAAATACAAACACTCTCCGCGCTGCTGCCGCTGACATCGCCGACATCGGCCAACCCCTGGGCCAGCCCCGCCGCGCCCGCTGCGCTCGTATTCAAACGAATCTCCTGCGACACTCGGAACATGCCGCCAAACACGCACGCTAGAATTTACAACTTGCAATCCCAACTAATCTCGCAAATTGCTTTTTCAATAATTTCTGTAAATTTCTTTTTCTCCAATTTACGAGCGCACAATGACGTGGCGCCGTCTGTGCCGCGGCTGTTCCTTGGATACACTGAAGATCTACTGCTGTGCAGTGCCACCTCTCTCTCTCTCTCTCTCTTTCGGGCACTCGAAAATGCTCTTGAGAAATTCTCAATATTTTCCATTCACAGCTATAGAAACACGCGCCAAAATGCAAATGTTTATGATGTTTCCTAGCTTCTTGATGGCTTTCTGCCAAGCAAAAGCATACGAAATATATAGAAATGTGATATACAATTTATTTATTATTAATTTGCGTACTCCTCTCCATAGGTGACGAGAGATTAGCGCGCGTATATCTGAAATATTTTATTTTCTGTTTTCTATTTCTATTTTATAAATTTGGAGACAGCTCAATGAAAAGAAGAATATTTTTGTTGTATGCTAAATATATTATAATATACAAATTAAAAAATGAACTACATTTTTCTTATTAAAAATAAACTTAAAAATTTAATTAAGATTATTGGGTTTGTATTACACTTTCTTTTTATTATATTAATATTTATATTTAAATAAACAAAAACAACTTTTCACATAAAAAATATTTTTTGCTAAATGATAAAATTAAATAAAATATAATGAATTAATTAGATTATATATATATTGATATATAAATATATATATATATATTTCGAAATTTTAATGTTTCAATATGGAAACATTTCTAATTGTACATTTATTTAAATATAAAACGTTTTAGAAACTAAAATAATCTTAGAAAATATTTTTAAATAAAATACAATTGATTTTTAATTAGGACATTATAACATTGATAAAAACTTTAAAAAATTAAAAAAAAAAAAACTTAAAAAATGTTCAAAAAAATATTTAATAAAAATACTTAATTTTTATGTTTTTTTTTTCATATATATTTTTGTAAATTGTTTCTTAGATATATATTTTATTAAAAATTTTTTGATCAATTTTTTTTAAATTCAGTTCTAAAATATGATTAAATTATATAAACTTACATAATTTTTTTCGCTCACTGAAAAATAAAAACAAATATAAAATTTTTAAAATTTATTATTTTCCATTCAATTTGTTAATTTCGCCAATACAAACATGTTTCAATGGTTAATACCACAATTACTGCACAATACTTATTTGCCAAATATGTTTTCTCCCATACGGCTAGTTCGTGAAGCAGCTCATTAAAATTTAAAAAATTAACAAATTCATAACTAAACACCACTACAGTTGTGTGTACATATGGATATGGATATGTACAGATACATATATATATATACATGCATATATATACAGATACGCATGCTCATTTTGCCGGCAACGTTTTTAGTGTTTGAACCCGAGCCAGGTTCATCTGCGCCCGCCCAATGGAAATAGATCTTCGATCTTGTCTGTTGATTTAAATGGGGTTTTGTTGATTTTATACTATATAGTCTGACAATCGCTGCTATCCCAACTGCTCAACCAACCCTCGTCGCTGCCAATGCACTGTGGCTCACGTTGCTCCCGTTATATCAAAACCACATTGCAAATAGTGATACAAATTTGGAAAAGTGGTGATATCTGTGTTGCTTAAATGTCCATTCTGGAAAAGCAATGAATATATCTAGAGTGGGGAAAAGAGGCAGGTTAAATGGAGGCCCGAAATTAAGCGAACATTGATACGAAATGCCGAAAGTCTTTACCTTTACCATGCCAAAACAAAATTTTTATCTCAAAAAAAGAATCGACATAAAACAAGTTTCTTTATAGCTCATTAAGTTAATATGATTATGTGCTGGTAGTTAACTTTGATCTTGCTGCTTTCTATACCAATGATAGTTATGTGTAACTGAACTCGGAATCTTTCTACAGATTGTGATTGAGAGACATATATAGATCTATATCTATCTCTATTTGTAGAAAGACAGCCTTCATAGACTAAAGCGTGATTATATTAATTTGTGAAAAAAAAAATAATGTAAAAAAAAGTCATGAAAACTTTTAACAAGACATCCCCAAAAACTGACCTATTTACGGCTATTTTATGCTATTATATCTGTCACGTCATATGTATACGCCGTATTGGACTGGGTAGTTCGGGGTATGACGACCCTATAAAGTATGTATATTCCTAATCAGGTCGACGAGCTAGGCCTTTCTAGCCACGTATGCTTGGCCGTCTATCCTTCTGTCCGTCCATATTGAAGTGTCTACTCCTGTATAGCATAAGCAGTCAGGGTATCTTCTAGTCGGTCACTCCCGACAACAACCCTCTTACTAGTTTCATATAGAATCAAATAACTTACGCTCTCTGTGATTTTTTGATTCTTTATGGCTTCGGTGCGCATCTGCTGCCAGGTATTGCGCAAGCGCTCCTCTGCCTCGGAGACGTAGCCGGGTGACCAGTTCTCCTTCAGTCGGAAGAGCGTCAAGCGATGCTTCTCGCGTGCCAAGCGTGGCTGGATCAAACGTTTGCGCTTGCTGCGCGCATTTAGCATTTGCTCCTGTTTCGCCTTCTTCTCCTCGATCTGGAGGCGCATCTTGCGTGCGAGATCTTCGCGTTTCTTGCTGGCCGCCGTCTCCTGGAAAATGGACACCAGATTGGTCTGTCCAAAGAACTTGCCGTAGTAGTTGATTCGACTGGCATCTGGAGGTGGCATAATGCGACGAAAGTTGCCCATGTGGCTCTCCTCCCAGGCAATTTGCTGGGCCAGTGAGCCGACCTCCGGATCTGGCGACTGCTCCTTGTTTGTCGGGCTGCCTTCTTTGTTGGGCAACACCTTCGACGCAGCTGGAACGACGCGCGACCGTTGCACGCTGCAAAGGCAGAATTTTGATAGTTAAGCTAAGGGATCTGCTCTTGCATCTACTCACATATCGCCCTTGGACTTGAGCAGGCGCTGCTTGACGCGCTTGCGATCCTCCCGCATGATCTGCCTCTTATCCGCCAGCACGGTGCTGACCAAGGTTAGGGTGTCCCTTATGAGTGGTCTCTTGACCTCGCGATCGACTTGCTCGTTGGTGTGAAAGCTGGGCGAATGATTCACCTCCAATATATACGGCTTCAGCTTCCAGTCGACCAAGATGTCAAAGCCGAGTATCTCGAAACAGGCCTGTATGGTATCGTGACCCGGAAAGCAGGCATGATAATTATGCTTGAGCACTGGCCACGCGCTCAGCACGGTCTTGATGATGACGTCGTCCACGTTCGACCAGAACTCGCTCACATCATAGTTATGCCTGGTCATCCAGTTGTTGATGGCGCTCAGCTTCCGCTTGCTGCCGCAATCATCATTGTCGCACAGATCGTACTGGGAGTTGCGCTTGTTCACCGAGTAGTTGGTCAGATGCATGTACAGATCGTGGGCATTGCCCGGAGTGGGCTCCACGTATTTGTTGGTGGCGAACCGCGCCAGACCCTCATTGTAGACATAAAGCCGCAAGGGGTCCACGGATGTAATCAGAGTATAAACCCGCAAATCAAACTTGTAGCCATCGATGAGCAGCGGCTGCAACGGTTGAGGAAGGCAACAATAAGCGGAATATAGGTGGAAATGGTGTGGAGAAAGGTCCATACTCGATGTATATAAGTCTGGCAGATGAGTCGCTCGTTGGGTCCAAGGGTCTTCAGATCGTTGGTCAACCAAATGCCCCGACCCTGAGCGCCCGAATCCGGCTTCAAGATAAACGTACGTTTGTGATTCTGAGCATAGTGCATGGCGTCGCCATAGCTGGGAGCGGGACTTAGGTATGGAGTATACGAGACAAATACGCGATCAACTTACTCGGCGGGCAACATCCAGGTTTTTGGAAATATTTTGTAATCGTGCGGGTACAGTTTGAGCATGCGATTTAAGTTACGTGAGAGCAGGTCCTTGCGACATATTTCGATCATGCCCGGAAAGTGATTGATCTGCTGAAAGCGTTTCATGTTCTTGAAGAGCTCGACGCCGGGAAATGAATCGGACCACAGTATATTCCACAACTTGGATTCTTTAACCAGTTTATAACCCAACGATTTGGATATACGCCCAATCATGGCGTAACGCGAATTGGACACGCAAATTGCACTCTTTGAATCACTGATCAAAACTCGAGAATAGAAACGAGAGCTGGAGATGGCCAGAATTGGGAACTCACCTAACTCTAAGTGCCTCATCGCGTAGTGGCGACGTCTCCTTTCGTGGTGTGCAGGCCACGCGAAAACGCAAATTATTCAGATCTATATAACCCTCGACTGGCGCATCACTATTCAAGTCGATTGTCTTGACCGGGTGAAACCCTTGTCCGCCCCTCAGGCGCGGCTCTCCCGATGCATTCGATTTCTTCTTGCTCTGCTTGGGCTTGGACGGGGATGGACGGCGGCGCGGCGAGCAGACCTCCTGCAGAGGGCCCGCCAGCTGGGACCATTCCAGTTCAATGACTGGGGCAACGCACTTGGACTCAGACAAGGCCATTTCTACGCCACGTATGACTGGGCTGCGCAGGCCCCGTTGCTCTCTATCCTTACGTATTTTCTCTTTTGAGAAGTTGCGCAGCTCCTGAATTCTTTTATAAAACTTGGAATTTTTCAAATTCATAGTGTTTGTCAATTGAAAAAAACAAATTGAGCTTTCCTGTGTTCTATATAAAACGAAAATTATAAACAAAGTAGAGTCTAATGTACTTCTTATTGACGCAAGCTCAAATAACCGAATTGACAATAGAATCAAAACACTAACCAACGAACAACGGAATGTGTCTAATAGTAATGCTAATTCGAGTTCCAATAGCAATTCTTATAATCTTATTGACACTAAAGGCATGGATACATTTCCTTCAGTTTCCACATTTCAATAGTATGGGTTTTTTTTATAGTTACACAAGCTTTAGTCGTACTAAAATAATTGAATATATTTTTAAAAACAATAAAATTAACTTTATTGAATAGACATTTTTATGGCATTAATATTTAAATATGTTGTCGGTCATGTAATTGCAGAAGGCTCTATCTGGAACACCAATTTCCCAATCATGTCAATGACCAACAGCCCCCAAATAATATACCCGTTCACGAACTGAATGAGTATATTCGTTTTATGTTAAGTCTCTCTTGCTGTTAGTTCATCTGAAACTTTAAGTGTGTAATATTTCTTATTCTATATCTTTCACAGTTTTACAGCTAGGACCTTAAAATTTGACACATGAAAGGAAATGGATTCAACGGTCCTTGGTCGATGAATAGGTATTGTGCAGTGGATAGATTTGTTAATAATAAAATATATTTTGTAGGCTACATGATTTAATAATGTTTTGGTATGCATCTATAAGGACATATATATATATATCAATAATAACAATATATATATATATATATATATATATATATATATATATATATCAATCAATAATAACAAAAGTCATATAAAAAGTACAAAAAATAATATATATGGGAATGGTTTTTGTAGATATTCAAGATTCAGTGCTAAAGGTCTTGAAGCGTTTGACCACATCATCCATGGAGGGTCTATCCTGTGGATTGGATGCCGCACACTTGAGACCCACTTCTATGGCACACAAGCACTTGTCCAGTTCATCGCCCATGGGCGTGACCAGGTGCTTGTCAAAGAGATCCAAGCGATTCTGTTGCGGCTGCAGGCATTTGGCCTTAACATATTTGAGCAAGTTTTGTTGGTCATTTTGCAGCGTGCATTCGGCCATGAGGCGGCCGGTGAACACCTCCAGCAGGACAACGCCAAAGCTGTAGATGTCCACGCCAGTGCTCAGCTTCTTGGAGCTGAGAAACTCGGGCGGCAAATAGATTCTGGTGCCGAAGACTTGTCTCACTTCCATAACTGCATCGATAGACTTGGGACCTTCACGCGCCAGGCCAAAGTCACCAATCTTGGGCTGCAGACACTGATCCAATAATATGTTCGCGGGCTTAATGTCACCATGTATGAGCGGCTTGCTGCGTGCCGTGTGCAAAAAGTAGATGCCTCTGTGAAGAATAAATATTGTGAGATTATATAAATTACTGTAAGCTAAGGATTCGGTCTACTTGGCTGTGCCCAGGGCTATGCAGAGACGTTGCTGCCAGGTCAATGGTGACAGCGGCTGCTTTGACTTGTGCGCTCTGAGTCGAGAGTCCAGCGAACCGCCCTTCATTAGCTGGTAAACCAGGCAGGGCTTCTCCCCGTTGATGCTGTAGCCATAGAGTGCTAGGATATTGTCATGTCGTATAGTATTCAAATACTTCAGTTCGTTGTAGCTCTGTTGCAGATGCACTTGGGTCTTGTCATTGTGCTTGTGGATATAGTTCATTGCCTTGATGGCCACGGCGAGCTGTTTCCATTCACCCTGGAAGACTTCGCCAAAGCCACCATTGCCCAATTTGTTCTCTGGTCGCCAGTTTTCCGTAGCTATCACTAGTTCCTCGTAGTCGATTTCTAGCAAGGATTGAGCAGCGCGTTGCACGCTGCTCACACGTATATCGCCTGGGGATTCAAGGCTATTGCTATTCATATTGCTATCATCAGTGACGCCAGACGAGGAGGCATATGGTGGTCCATTATTGATTTTCGAACTGGTGCTGGCCGGTGCACGCAGCTCGCTAATTGTGGGCATGCTACGCGGAATGTATTTGTGGAATTTGTCATCAACATGATCCTTAATAATGCGCATGGCATTGTGTAGCTTCATTCTGCAAGTCAAATTTTATTAGATTAGATTAGAGAGAAACCTGAATAACATGCTGTAGCTACACCATACTTATGAAAGAGCGCAAACAGGCTATAGACCGAGTGATTGTATTGCCCGCCCCATATGTTCAGGAATTCCATAGAAGGCGAACGCCCGCGCGTACTCTGGATACGTATGTGCTGTACATCATTGGGATACAGCTTTACAAACGCGGCCAGCTGCTGCCACACATCCAGAGAGTCCAAGTGCTCGCACAGCTGCTGTCGTACAGTCTCTGGCAGCAGTCTTATGGGCATTGAGTTGTCCTCGCGACCCGATCTCGTCGGGCTATCACTGGCTCTACCTTCTGCTGCCGCGTTCATCTTGTAACAACGACTGTATTTTGCAGTGCGTTGACTGAATCATGCAAGTTTTTGGTGAATTTTACATATATATGCGTACGTAGCTAGAAAACCAGTGTAATTTGATTACTATAACTTGTTGAGCAGGAAAAATCCCAATTGGACGCATGCACAATACATCTGGTGTTGCCAGACTTCAAATACTCAATGCAGATCATTGCAATTCTCATACTCGTTACTTTTAGCAATTACTTAACGACACAGAGTCACAGTTGCCACACTTTACAAAATGTAAACAATTTGTAAAATAGCGCTAAAATATAATTCAGTTGACCTCTTTTATTTTTATTTATTACAAGTTTTCAGTTTTACAATTATATTAATTCATAAATTGCATAAAAATACTTGAGAAATGAAAATGATATAAGTCGATATATCGATAGCCATCAACAGAATGTACGCATTTCAAAAGTGTAGCATATGAACTAATGTGACAATTGAATGTATTATGTTTGAAATTGTTGTTGATAGTGTTTTAAGCTCTGGTTGAAATTCAGTCAAAGGAAACCCTGTTCAATATTAGCAATAAATTTTAGTAATTCACCCAAGCCTTATAAATCAAAATAAAAATGGCTTAACTTAATTATTTGGGTGTTAATATTCAAAGCGAAACGTTTGGAATTTCTTTTGGGTTCAAAGCTCGCACTTCTTCAAAATTAACCCATTGCTAGCAATAAATCAAATACATGAAATCAAATTATGAAAGCTGCAGTCTCTTTGCTGCGTAACAGGCTTGGTTTTGCACGCTTGCATGCAAAGGCATCTTCATTGGAACGTTATGGATGGGATCATCTGAAATGCAATGCATTAGAACCAATCATGTCATCCTGTAACTCTGACTACTACCTTCCAAAATGTCGCTTTATGCAATATCTACATCCTGGCGACACTGAAAAACGTCTTGGCATGGTGTCGGAAAATGGCACCAAAATGATTGAGTTGTCCGCTAGAACTTGTGCCGCGCCAGACATGATGGGATTTATACACCAGAGATATTGCATGAGAAGTTTGTTGGACAGCACCAAATATATGGATGTTGATGATGTTAAACCCGACTTGAGACTTCTACCTCCACTTGATTCACCCGGCAAAATAATTGGTGTTGGTTGCAACTACTACGATAGCTGCAACGAAAGAAACATGAAAGTACCCGCTACGCCTGAGTTTTTTGTCAAATTCGGTACGTCCATTACGGGTGCCCTCGATAATATCCGTGCTCATCAAATAGCTAAGGTCAGTTAATATCTTATCTAATGCACTCTAATTCAATATACTGCACACTTGCAGCACATTGATTATGGCTGCGAACTAGCCGTGGTAATTGGTAAAAAATGCCGCCATGTCTCTCGTGTCGCTGCTATGAGCTGTGTTTTTGGTTATATGATCGCCCAGGACATTAACGCACGCGATTGGAACGTATTGTTAGGTGGTCAAACAATGCTAGGTAAGTCGCTGGATACTTTTTGTCCACTGGGCCCGATTATTGTCCATAAAAATCATGTGCCCGATGTCAACAATTTGTGGATTAAGACTATTGTCAATGGTGAACAACGTCAGTGCGGGAACACTAAAAATATGATATTCAAAATTGACTACCTCATACATAGATTATCTCAGTGAGTCAACCAGTTGCGGGCATAGAATTCATTTTATTTTTATTTGAGTTTCAATTTTTGAACATAGATTTATGACGCTTTGCCCGGGTGACATTATTTTAACTGGTACACCAGCCGGCGCAGGGGCATACCGCAATCCGACAAGCTTTTTGAAGCCCGGAGATATGGTCGAGAGTGAAATACAAAAGTTGGGCAAAATGAGAAATAAAGTCGTAAACCCTTATTCTTAAATTGTAGGAAAAGTGTAAAATAAAGTCGTATACCCGTGTGCTCAAATTATATTTCCATTTCTTTCATTGTCCTTTTTACAGGACACTTTCTATATTTGTAATTTGTATAATTGAATCTAAAACAAATTTTTACAATCCATGTTTTTAAGAAGTGCATTTTTTTGAATTAAAAATAAAACAAATTGTTGAAAACTAAACGGTCGACTTGGTAGGGAACATAGTTTACAAATACATTAAGCCGCTCGCCGCGGCGTGCGCCATCAACGTATTTGCTGCCTGCTGTGTCTCGAGCATGAGACGAGTCTCTTTCATCCAGTCATTAGCCACTTGGCGAGGAGCGCCCTGCAGTAGGTTTAAGTATTTAAGCGCCTGCAGGAAATCCCCACGGTCAACATGGTACCTAATGAATTACACAAAGTTCAGGTCATGGAATCTATTAAGTTATTTAGTTAGCTTACCTGGCTCGATTCAATATATCATAGGTGTCCAATTTGCTATAATCAAACGGTTTGTTCTCTAGCTCATCACTCGAAACAGGATTATCTGGCCGTAAAATGAAAAGGGATTGCAGAAATGAGAGGAAGTAAATGGGAATGCTTCCACCATTTTCGGGCACCATCGCTAAACGTCGCGCAATGCGCTCAACATTCAGGAACCGCTCACGTAGCGCATCCTCTGGAAATACTCCACGCTCCTGAGCCTCCTTCGGCATGTTCTCCAACACAGCAATCACTAGTTCGTCGCCCTCTGAAAACAGTTGTCAGCAATATAATAATAACGATTTGCAACATCTACAGTCGAATCCACTCACCAGCCACTTTGGAAATTGCATTGATTTCGTTCCTAAGTGGTCGCAATTTGTCCTTGTAGTGTACGCCGGGCGTGGCAGTGCGCACAGAAGCCCACAGGGCTTGGCAGGCAGCCCACAAAGCTTGCGCCTGGTTTGCAGAACGCTCAGTTTCGGCGCGTTCTTTGCACGACAATAAAAATATCAAGTTAGTTAAAGCAAAAGTATCATATGATTTGAAGCTTGGGGAGTATACCTGTGAACTTGTCCTCTATTTCTAAACAAGCAGCATTTATATGAGAGCAAATTGTTGATATTATAATGCAAGCCGGGTAATTTTTCAGCTGGAAAATAATCGTTTCTCTTAAGCTTTAAGAAATCTGATACATCCTATACCAATGCTTACGAATTATTTTCCAACTTACTTAATTAGCAACAAAATACAAAGTCTCACTAGCTGCCTGGGGGTATGCGATATTTTTTTAATAGTTTACGTACCAGACAGTGCAGCATCCATTCCGCGTAGCTTGCCAAGCATAGCAGAGAGTTGAAGTTTATAGTTGGCCTTTTCAGCTGCTAATTTGTCGTCCATTTCGTGCTGGAATTTGCGCGTCATATCCGTTTCTCGCTGCGCAATTACGTCCTTAATATGATCAGTATGCGCTTCCGTCTGTTTCTTAAGCTGCATACGCAATTGCTTGTCTGCCTCGGCATGGATTTTGAATATCTTTTTTTGATTTTCCACCGCCAGCTTGCGCTTCTCTGCCTCCAAATGGTATTCAAGCTGGGCACGCAAAGCCTCAGAGCTATTGTCGCCTCGCAAGGAATCAATCGCACGCTTGAGACGCAACTCGCCGTCGGTTTGCAAGCGCTGCAGCTCCTTTTGGTAAGCCACTACATGTGAATAGGCATGCAGTATGAACAAATCCAAATCTTCTTTCGATAAGCTTAATTTCTTTTCCGACAGGTTGATGCCCGGGAAAATAGACTCAATTTCATCAATGAAATAGCTGCGAGCCTGTTCGACACTGCGCCAATATTTATCAGATACGCTGGCTGTATCTTTCTCCCTATACAGCTCATCTCTGACTCTACTGATGTGTGCCACAAGCTTCTTAATGTTATTTCGCACTTGCTCCACCTTCTCTTGGTTTTTCGCAGTTGCTGCTTTACTCAAAGCGATCTCACAACGCTCTGAAATAAATGTAAATCAATTAGTTTTAATTCGTTGCTTTCGGCAAAGCAGCCAGAACTCACCAATCTTATCCTGTGCTTCACGGGCCGCACGCTCCGCCAATGATACTGCTGAATCTCTTGCAGTTGCGCGGTTCTTCAATGTTGCCCAAAGTGAATTCTCGCCATGTTCCACTGCCTTATCCACCACCCGACGGACATCCTCATTGAAACTGTTTAAAATATTAATCTGTAATGTATCATGGCCAAATTAGCGATTAGGCATTAATACGCACGCCTTAAGAATTCCAATAGCAGCATTATACTCCTTAATCGCCAACTGAGCCGAAAGCTCGATTGCCTTCTCAAGTTCCACGACTTCATGTGGCAACGGATGAGCTTTTGGTGCAGAAGGTTTTGCTGGTGGCGGTGCAGCGTCCGATTTGGTGACTGAAGTTATTTCCTTACTGGCAACTTGTGGAGCTGGATCAGCTGGCTTTAAGCTTTCTGATTTTTGTGCCGCCGCGTCGCTTTGTTTCTTCGCTGCAGCCTGCATTGGTTGACTTTTTTTGCCGCCGAATAAACCAGTTACTTTATTGGAAGCTGAGCTAACCGAGTCCGAAACGCTATTAAAGGTAGATTTTACTACATCAAGTTTATCGTTGACACTTTTGGTGATGCCCTGGAACGGTGGCTCCTCCAGCAGTGCCACTTTAATCACCGTTTCGGCACCAGGCACATTGTTCTCAACCAATTTGCGGAAATTAACATCGTATCTACAATTGGATGCATAAATTAAGCTGACAAACTAAGAAGTGTGATTAGAAACTGACTTGGAATAGGTGATAACGCCGCCGACTATAGCCAGTGGGCCCAATAGAAGCATCACTTTGCCGAAGCCGGCTTCGCGTGCATTTAGAGGCGGGGGCAAGCTGCCTCTATGCCGTTTTTGGTGCTGTTCCTGTTGTTGATTTTGCTGTTGTCCATTACCACTGTGACTTTTGTTGTTGCTGCTGTATTGTCTGCTGCTGGTTGGAGCCAGAGTGCGCTATAAAGATATAATTGAAGGACGCAAATTGGCAATGGAAGCTCATATTAATAATCAACAAATGCGGTCTTGCTGGAATTTTGGACATTTTTTACATTTGGTAGATGACATAACACACAAGCACTCTTGTATATTTTTGCAATTGGGTTTGTTTGGGGGTGATTGCGGGGCGGTCGGGTGGCACCGACGTCACCGACACGATTGATTTTCACATTATTCTAGTCACATTTATTACCTGCATCGCACTCTTGCACTCAATTGCTGCTAGTCTGTACATGATGTAGCCACAGATTTTTGTAAATTTGCTTCGATGGTACCTACTGCAGACTCTAACCGGCGGCGAGAATATTTTTCCTGCCCAATTTCTCTCCAACGACAAATACTGGCTAGCTCGTTGGCCGTCGACGTTATGTGCACGTTTACAAAAGAATGGCAAACGGTTGCTGCCAGTCTTTTCCATTCGTGCAGTAATGGAAAGCCGTTGTTGCGTGTAAGTATTTTTAAATCAACATAAATTTGTAACTTTAATTTGACTCAATTTTATACTGTTTTACAAATAATAATAAAAAATTCAATAAAATGAAGTATAAAAGAATGTGTTTTAAATTGAGTGCAAATAGTCTTTATAAAATGTGAATGTCAAACACCAAACATGTGTTTCTCTCAAACAGCTGACTCGGCCAACTCGGAAGCTATTACGCGATTGCGTTCCGAAAGAAAATTTGGACATTATCAATCAACATTGATCAATTAAAAAGAATACAGAAATGTTCCGTTCGCTGGTTGCAGGTGGTGAGTTGTACTGTCACATAAATATGAATTAATTGCATTATTATTAATAATATTATATCAACAGCGATACGCAACGTCTGCCGTGCTCAGCCGGCGTTCGCGCTGCAGCAAACCCAACGAAACTTTTTTGGTCATTTAATTGCTGCATCTTCTCCTGCCCAAAGCAAAATAAGTTTACTATCCTCCCAAAACCTTACACCTCCGTTATTACAGCCAGCTGCGCTTGCCGCCTTGCCTACTCGCAGTGTCACGAAGTTCTCACTCATCAAGGGCAAACGCAAGACAGTAAAGGCGGTGTTAAAACGCTTCAAGCGTCTCGACTGGGGTGCCTGGATCCGAACACATTCTGGCCGCCATAAGAAAATGTTTAAGAAGTCCCCAGAGCTGCGCCGTCGTCTGCGTCAACATGTATTTACAAATGCTACACAGAGCTGGCTGCTGGATAAGATGGTGACGAGCTATTGGCGTCGCCCCAAGCATTACATCGATGATCCGTATGCTCCATACCACAAACGCGATGAATACTTCGCAACCAAATCCAAAACATTTAAAGTGTAGTGGCTACATGATTAAATAACATGTTTTTTAACAGTTGTTTGATTTACATAACATTGAATAACAATATTTAATTTGGCTTGCATGGGGCAACAACTTGGTTGGTCATCGTGCCCAGGCCAACAATTTCTGTCTTGATGACATCTCCCACTTTAAGATATTCGGGGGGGTCGCGGTACATGCCCACACCTTTTGGTGTGCCGGTCAAAATGATGTCGCCCGGGAGCAATGTAATCGACCTGTCACGGATTAGCCATTAAAATCACAGAGGATTAGTCATTATTTTATATCTACTCACTGGGTTAGTCTGTTGATGACATCATCTATTTTGTGTATCATATCACGTGTGTTACCATTTTGCTTCTCTACGCCATTAATCCATGTTTTCAATGGCAAATCGTAAACATCCTTTATTTCACTTTTGTGCACCACAGCGGGGCCAAGGGGACAGAAAGTGTCCATAGATTTGCCCAATAGGAACTGACCACCGTTCCGTTCCTTTTGCCAGTCTCGAGCGGAGATGTCTTGAGCAATGCTATAGCCAAACACATAATCAAACGCCTTTTCCTTGGGCACTTGACGGGCGACCTTGCCAATGACGACCACCAGTTCCACTTCCCAGTCAATTTTCTGATAAGATAATATATGTAGGAAATTGTAAATTATCATCATGATTATCTCATATTCTAAACATACGTTTGATATTGCGTGCGCTACCACATCATCTAATGGGCCCACCAATGTGTTGTTGTACTTGCTAAAGAACATGGGTTGTTTGGGGGCGGGCTTGTTCTGTTCGTCACAGTGGTCCTGATAGTTGAGGCCGATGCAAATTATTTTACCCGGATCACTCAGTGGAGGCAACAAGGTGACGTCATCATTCAAAAGAAGCTTCGGCTGTTTCTCAGCCTTTTTGGCAATCTCTTCCAGATTCGGGTTCTGCGCAATCAAAGTCTTCAGGTCATAGGGCACACCTTCGATGCCGCCGAGCTCAAGCAAAGACTTATGATCGTCGGTCAAAAGACCGAGACGTTTGGCGAGATCGCCCTTACGCAAATATTGCACGAAGCGCATTCTAGCAGACAACATTTATAACTATTCGATTGATCAGCAGCTCCACTTGTAAAAATGAAATACATGGAATGAAAAAATTTGTTATCCAACACTGATTAAATAATAGCTTGAAATTCTCTCCAGACAGACTATGTTAGAGATGGTCGCATGTCGTGCTCCCAGAAGCACGACAAGCGTAGCACGAATTTAACGGAGCCTCGTGAGTGTAACGCACGGGAAAAACTATGCAAATAGAAATGCACAATAAAAATGCAATTTCTCTTTGATTTCAAATAAAAAGGATTATATTTTAAATGGCAGCACCAAACTTTAATGTATGCAGTGCAGCCGACAGTATAGTTTTTGGGTTCGATAATAACTTAGACCAATTTTGTACACTCCTTAAACAGTTTTCTATTCGCTACCGGCAGGTACCTTGCTGCTGCCAAGCTTCTCTAATAATTCGTATTTCCAGCGCATATAGGCAACACGCATACGATCCCAAACATTATCAACCGAGTCCATTGCCGGGCGCACGTCTAATAAAGCAAAGCGGTAGTCCTTGTCAACCAATCCTCCATCATAGTAGTCGATAACATAGCGCACATCCGTGCCGCATCGATCGACAATCCAATCGTGGCGATCGAAAGGCAGCTCATAACTAGAAATACAAAATGCTTAATATATGTTTATAGATAGAATTGTGTAACTGTTTACCCAAGCCAGCTGCGAAAACGTGCACGTGGACTGAAGTCCTTGGCCTTGCCACCGAAACTCTTCAAGCGCGGGTTGCCGCACTCTTTTGCATGTAGCGCCTCCCATTTAAGTACCTCCTGCCAGGCCTGCTCGTTATTTGCATTGTGAATGCGTATTATGTCGCCCATATCTTTCTGAGAGACATCTTCATTTTTCCAGCGCCAGCCCTTGCGCAGCATTGCATTCCAGAACATCTGTTGGCTAGGATATTGCCAAAATTGTACGGTTCCGTCCTCGGTTACCTTTGGTATGGTCGATGTCTGCCGATCTGTGGGAAGTGCAAAGGGTTGATCGGGTGCCGGCTGCTGATTCGCGGGGGGCATCATATTCAAAGGGTTGACATCGCTGTTGTCGTGCTTTACAGGGCACTCAGATGGCTGCATCTTAGGATGTGGTGGCACCGCAGATGCCGAATCATTGCCCTCCTGTTTCTGATGCATGGGGCATTCGGGCGGCGGTGCCTTACCAGAATTGGCCATTTGCTTAGCATGTTCAGATGGCATGGTTTTGACGCCTTCCATCTGCACCCTGGATAGCGCAGAGTTTCCCATATTTATTGATCTTTTTAAATTATTGCTAAAATAACAAAAATACAGAAACTGTGTCACGCGTAAAACTTTTAAAATTCTCAGTTGCGTAACTGCGCACAAATGATATTGTGGGAAAAGCACGCAGTTAGAACAATTGTAACTTACATATTTTTATCTTATAGAAGCGGCACAAAAACTTGATAAGTTAAAATTCAAATTATCCTGCACTTTTAATTGATATTCTTCAAAATCATTGTGAGCTCTAGATGCCAACAGAAGTCTTGAAACGCAGCTAGGTTACGAACAGAGCTGTCACAGCATAAAAAACTATATAAAAAAGTATAAAATTTCTGTATTCGCTTGACGACCAGGTTGTAGAAAATGTATAAAATAATGCTTACGAGTTGACAAGGATCCTACTAGTTTGCCTACAAATTTATTTATCAAATTTCAAACATATGAATATTTCTTTAAAAGTATGATCAGAAACCCTGTCGGCTCACTTGTAAGTGTTGAACAACCCTGTACAGTTTGTCGTTTATCAACACCAACTGCATAGGCCGAAATTGTTATTGGATAGATTTTAGATTTTTGCTTTTAAAGTGAGTAAATAATCCGCGTATTTGCAATAAATAATAATTTTTCTGAAGCTGCAGCCGCCCTGCCAATACTCATTTGCTAAAATAATGCAATTACTAGATTAAATTATGCTGGCAATTAAAAATTGCAGTGCAGTATCTTAAAGCTTGTGTGATGTAACAACAGACCACAGAAAATGCCAACAAATTGGTAATTATTTTTGTTTAGATTGTTATTAATGCTTGGTTATTTACGATTACAGCATGACTGCCGTGTTTCGAGTTGGCCTGGTGCGACTGGTTAGCCGTGGCTCAACCGCTTCTGCCCCTACCACACTGCTGCAGGCCCAGACGAATGCATTGCCTGCCGCATTCATGCAGAAGTGCAATATATCCGGCAAAACGATGCGTGGTGGTCCACGGTGTCCCAAAGTGGCGCCCTACCCGTACAAGACGAAGAAGTACAATGTTTTAAGCTCCATCTTCGACAAGACCACCAAGCGTTTCGATGAGAACTCTAAAGTTATTTGCGTGGAGGGTCCCATAGCATCGGGCAAAACAAAGTTCGCTAAGGAGTTAGCCGCGGAGTTAGATATGCAATACTTTCCGGCCGTTGATTTAGATCTGATCTTTATTAATTCGTATGGCTTTGATATGCGTAAACTGGACCCAGAGCTGCCTCCCAGCTGCCGCAGCTTTGACATTAAGGACTTCTGCGCGAATCCCAAACATGTCCAGGCTGCTCAGTTCCAGATTCGCATGTACATGTTGCGTTATTCGCAGTATGTCGATGCACTGCAGCACATCTTGTCCACGGGCCAGGGCGTGGTCACGGAGCGCAGTCCCTTTTCCGATTTTGTCTTTATGGAGGCCATGTTCCGCCAAGGCTATGTATCACGCGGTGCTCGTTCCGTTTACAACGATGTGCGTCAAAACACCATTGGCGAGCTGCTGAAGCCACATTTGGTTATCTACCTAGATGTGCCCGTTGATGTTGTCCAGAAGCAAATCAAAGCGCGCAACATTGAGCACGAGGTGAAATCGAAAGCGCTCACCGATTCGTATTTGAGCGATCTAGAAGTTCTATACAAGCAGCAGTATCTAAAGGAGATTGCTGGACATGCCGAGCTGCTCATCTACGATTGGTCAGCCGGCGGCGAAACTGAGGTTGTGGTGGAGGATATCGAACGCATTAATTTCGAGCAGCACGAAACGGATCCGCACAACAAGAAGATGCTCGACTGGCGTTTCCCACTCGAGAGCGAGTGGTGCGAGGCGCGAATCAAGTACTGCAACGAAAAGCCCGAGTTGATGAGCTACTTCAATGTGCCGCGTTACGATGTGCCCGAGCTATTGCGCAGCGCTGACGACGGCAAAGTCTGGCGTGACGTCTGGTTCAATGTGAGTTCATTGTTAAATTATGCTTAAAAAGCATTTATAGTTAAATGAGTTATTATCAACAGGCGCCTGGCATGAAGTTCCGCCCCGGCTACAATGCGGATGTGGGTGACACTGGCTTGCTGACCAAAACCAAGTTGGGCCTGAACGAGCCATTCTAAGCGGGCCATTTGTGTGCTTTGAATTCAACTGGCGAAATGTGTTAATTATGTAATAAACAATCTAGTAAAATAATTGTTATCCTTTCGCTTACAAAGTTCGATCTATAATTTGTATTTCATTACAACTGGAAATCAAGTGACTAAACCTGGACTCGATTGCAGACTCCGAATAGAAATATATACCATATGATGATTGAGATACCATATATGATTGAGAACTTAACACCTTGTATAAGCCTAAAAAGTCTATGAAACTATAAAGGTTTTTGTACTCAAATTTAAAATATCTGCAAGGGAGTTTAAACATATACTCTTTTAAGATATATGTATTGTTCTTTTTATACGTGTACAACCAGTTGAAAGGATCGGGAGTTGAGATTTGACATACATATAGTATATAGTCGTATATTACAAAAAACATTTAATTAATTTTACTTCAAATTTAGTTAGTTAAGGGAATTGATAACGCTTGGCTCAACGCTGCAATCTGTAGAGTAAGTAATTTTTACAATAATGTTGCGCTGTTTGGATCGCATATTATGGAACATTAAGTTTTAAAATATGATGTGACTAGTCGAGCAATGTTAATCGCTGTCATAGTCATTTTTGCCCCCACCGCCAACGGAGGTGAGTGGCCGACGAGACTCCTCGTCGGAGCCGTAGACGACGTCCTCGTCTGAATCGTCAATCATGGAAATGGCTGGATTATCTTTGGTAACGGCCAGGTCGGCCTGGGCGAAGCGACCATCCGGCGAGTACACATACGCCATGGTGTACAAATAGAAATTTAATAGCCCATAGAAGCACATAAACTGCGCCGAACTCCGGTAGGTGGTGTTCAGCGTCGCCACAAAGTTGTCCTCCAGTATACCAAAGCCAAAGCGACAAGTGGTCACCGTTATGGAAATGGACAGCACAAAGAGCATCAGCAGCGTGAGAAACTTTAACCGAATGTCTGCAGAAGTGGAGAAAAGCAAAAGAAGCAGTGAAAAAAGAAGAGATGAGTTGAAATAGGAAAATCAGATATGAGAAGGGAAGATGAGAATAAAAGAGGCCGGGAGCAAGAAGGATAAAAGTAGGAAAGATGGCAAATTCAAGGATGAAATAAGCAATAAATAGGAACAGAAGGAAAAGGAAGATAAGAAAAAGAACAGAAAAGGCAAGCCCAGAAGGAAAGAACAAGGGAGAAGAATAGTTAAAAAGTGAGGAGAGGTGATGAAAAGAGAGGAGGTATAAAGCAGTAAGCAAGGACAAGTAACACAGAGAAGACAGGAAAAGAAAAGAGAAGCAGAAGATAAAAGTTAGGAAGAGAATGCAAGAAATGGAAGGAGAAGAAAGGAACAGAGCAACAAAGAGAAGAAAATGGAATAGAAACAAGCAGAAAAAACCAGAGAGATCAAGAGAACAAAAACGCGATCAGAGCAAAATATTCAAGAGACAAAGATTAGTATGAATAAAAACTTACCAAAGTAGGGCATGGAACGCAGCTCGGCATAGGCTCGCAGCAGGAGCAGACCCAGATACAGCACATACATGCAGCAGGCAATGTAGAAGAACATCTTAAGGCCCTGCAAAACGGATCAGATGAGGATGGGGTAATATATAGGTAATCCCACTGCACTCACATTATAGTTCTTGGTGTCCACGAAGTGGCTGTATGTGGGATCTCGCAGCTCGTTGCACTTCTCCCAGGTGGCTAGGACAATGGCGCACAGCCAGATGGGCAGCACCACGATGATCTTGACCAGGTAGAAGCTAACGAAGCGACGCTCGTTCTGTCGCAGGCCGTGATAGATGCACAGCCAGAACATGAGCAGGGCGCACAGGAATGTTGCCTGCAGAACGGCATCCAGCATGCCAGGCAGCCAGGAGTTCATCAGGAATATCAATGGAAACAGTGGATCTGGGCAAATGATATCAATTAAAGCAAATAACCAAGATCCGAACTACTCCAAACTCACTATCGTAAAGCAACAGCAGCGGCAGCAGCACGGATATCCACTTCTGCTCAATGGACCAGTCATAGACGGGATACTTGCGCAGCGTGTGCGCATACCAGCACTGCCCGAGGGATAAATAATGATTAGCTATTGACTCTATCTCCACATAGATCTTCACTTACGATCACTATGAACGTGAAGAGCAGAAAGATGAACCTAAACCAGATCTCAATCTGCGTAAACTCCGGGCTATATGTCTTGAACTGCAAGAGATCAATATGAGAGATTAAAAAAAAAAATTTTAATAATTAAAAATTAAAAATTAAATTAAAAATTAAATTCAACAATTAAAAATTAAATTCAACAAATTATTTGAAAAATCTGAAAAATAATACATAAAATAATAGAAAACAAAATTTATTTATATATTCAAATAAAATTAAAATAATAGTTAATTTAAAATATAAATAAAAATAATTATTTATATCACATGAATTTAATTTTTGTTTGTTATAACTTAAAAAAAAATCACAATAAAATAATGTAAAAAAATAAATATTTGTATGTATAAAAAATATTTTTTTTTTAAATTTTTTGTATAGTTTTCATTTTAAATATAAAACTAAATTTAAAAAAAAATATATTTTTTTACATACAAATATTTATTTTTAAAAATAAAATAATTTTATTAAATTTAAAATTCAAAGGAATTTAAAAAAAAATTAATTCATATAAAAGAAATTGTAAGATAAACAACGAAATATAAGAATTCCAATTGAAAGGTTACTCACATAGAAGGTAATGGCTCTGATGTTGTACTTCTGATGGAACGACTCGAGCCCAAAGAACCGCACTGTGATGATGTAGTGGGCATAGTCGAGAAAGCCCAGGTGCATGACGGTGAACTCCTCGCAATCGTTGCGCACGCAGAGCAAGTGCCTCGTGCGATTGTGCGAGGTGCTGCTGCCCAGGATGCTGAGTGGCTTGTGCTGCTCGTTGATGCCGTCGATGGTGACGCTGATCTGAAAGCTCTTGTCATAGCGCTCGTCTGAGCAAGCAGAGAGATAGTAAGTACCTTGGCATTACAGACTGGGCTCAACACTCACCATCATTGTTGTCGGTGACCAGTTTGGCAATGAGCCACATCTGCTGCGAATAGGTTGTCATCAGTGGCGATTTCATGGCAAAGGGCCCCGTGGCCAGCACCGTTTTACTCTTCGCCAGCGTTGTATTGGCCAGTATCTGCTGTGCGGTCAGCGCCTCTGTTGTGGTTATTGGCGGACCGGTCAGTCCAATTATGATGCCCAAGCCGAAGCAGGTGAAGAAGCCAAGAAAGACCATGACGAACTCACGCTTGTGCATGGAGTACATGCGCATATGGACGGATCGCTCGCAGCGATCATGAAAGAAGGCGGGTGAAATGTATTTGTTGAACTCGCTGAACAAATCGCTGAACTGCGACAGGGAGTTCTTGAGGCGCAGCAAGAGGCCGCCAGATGGCAGATGATAGGCATAGCCCAAGCCGGAGGCGTCTGTGGGTGGCTTGGCCATGGCTCTCCAACTGCGCGTGCTCGTCGAATGGAAGTGCTATTGTCTTTGCTGGCTTGCTTACTTAATTCTCAAATTTAAACTAAGCTCATTTTTTCAATGGCGCCCAAACTTCCATACAGTTGAAGTAGCGCTGGCAAAGCTGAAACTAATTATGTTCGATGTTTGTATTCCTTTTACGTCTTATTGTTGTGCAAAACAATTTCTGCGCCGTTCGCTTGCTTGCCCGTGTGAAAAGTATTGATTTTGGCTGGCAATCGCATGTTTTGTACCCTGGGGTGGGCCCCGAAATTTGATTGCCAGCTTCAGCGCCATATTGTACAGTTTGGCAAGCACTGCGCATGCGCTCTCTTATCAGCTGGCCCAAAATGTAAACAAAATCGTTTCCAATGTAAAATATACCTGTTTTTGTTCCCGTCTACTCATGCTTTTAGTTGATAAATTACAAAATAACAAGAACCATGTAAAGAAGTATCCATATTCATGCCATACACCACAGTTTGACAGTCACTACTCTACGCCTAGGAAAATGTAAACAAAGCCGCAAAAATTGTGAGGTGTCTGCTCATTTAGTCATTTCATATTTTACATTTTTGTGCTTATAAATTAGTTAGCTGTTTGTGTAATTTAATCCCAATATTTAATTTGACCATCCCAGCCGGCGGTAACCAATTTGCTGGCTTCGTGTGGATGCCACAGGGCGCTGATGCAGACGCTGTCGTGCGCCTGCCATTTCTTGTACATTTTCGTCGTCTTCCAGTCCCATATATAGCACTTGCCATCGCCATCGCCCGACACCACATAGCTCATATCCGGCGAGAAGTCCAGCTGGCAGGCATAGCCGGAGACCATGTGGCCAGTGAAAGTCTTTTTGCGATTCATTTTGAAGCGATTCAAAGCGGAGAATATCACGATTTTGTTGTCCAGCGATTGACACGCCATCCATTTGCCATTGGGCGCCAGGGTAACTGCTGGCATGGAATGCATCGTTGGATCTGCTATGTATTTCATGTCCACAGGTATGTCCCACTCCCAAATACGCATCGATTTGTCGTCAGACGTGGTCACGAATCTTCGATTGTCATCCACAAAGGTAATGGTGCTAACAGAGCCCAAATGACGATCGTATTCCTGGACAATATCGCCGCTGCGTGTGTCCCACTGTGAAAGAGATTTGGCTTGAGTTTAGCTTTAATTATGCTGGATGAATTCACACTTACGCAAATGATCTTTTTGTCGGAGGTGCCGGCCACAAAGAGATGCTGCTTGCTATTATCTGGATGGAATTTAACGCAGAATGGCATTTTGCGTGTGGTAAAGCGAGAGACAACATCGCCCGTCTCCGCATCCCAGAGTTTTATATAGCGATCATACGAGGCGGACAGGAAATGTGAACCCTTATTGTTCCACGCAATATCCTTAATGGCTTGCCGATGACCGGAGAAGGTGCGCACGCAACGTCGGTCGCCATACACTTCCCACAGTTTGACGCGACAGTCCATGGAACCGGATAGCAACAAATGCGCCGTCTTTGGAAACCAGCGTATGGATGAGATGCCCTTGTTGTGGCCCGTCCAGGTGTGTATGTGAGCCTTGGGCAGAAAACATTTCGGTGGTGGAGCATTCGAACGCAAATTGACACCCAAATCGTGTGGAGCATGCAAGTACGAACGACCCTGGTAATCGTAGGCATCCTTGACTGTAAGGCAATAAAGAAAAATGTAAATACATCTAATAATATCAACTATTGTCAATGTGGCAAGCTCACTGTGCAGCGTGGACTTCTCTTCCAGCGGCTTATCCTCGGGTATACGTCCGCGTTTGTGTCGCTTAGAGAGCAGCTCATCCAGTTCGGCTCGTTCCTGTTCGTTAGGCTTGGCCACGCTTATCTCATTCTCGTACTTTCCCCAGGGTCCGAGAAAGCCTTCCACGTCCTCTGGATTATCGTTTTTCTCCTGCTTGCGCATTTTCTTAGGCTTGGGTGCCTCGAAAACGGTTTTGCCATTGTCATCGTAGGCGGACTGTAGGTCACCCACAAAAGACTGCCCATCGGCTTCATTATCCACTGTGGGATCCAACGCGTAGCCGTAGGTGTGGAAGGTGCGTCGCTGATTCTCAAATTCAAATGCATTTATGTGCGCCTTCTCTACGTAGCCAGCCAATGTGTTGCGCGGTGCCCGCTGCTGCATTGTCAAGTCGGGATGCTCGGGTCCCTGAACGGGCGCATACATTTCTTCGTAGCGTGGATTGTAGGCGACTTCTTTGAGAGTTGGATCTAGCGTACGCGAAACAGCTGCAGTTCCCATTGGCACAACGTCGGGTGCTGCACAAACGGCCAGCGTTGTGGACAACGAATGCGTTTTGTCCACTGGCTGCAAATGCGCGGTCAACTCCTTAGTGGCATCCTTGCTCTGTTCATTGTCCGAGTCATTCTCGGAGGAGCTGCCATAGGATTGCAGTCCCAGCATGTTTTTCTACAGATTTCTTACGAATTCCGTGTATCTGTTGACAAAATGCTGCAAATAAAGGACTAACAAACTGTACAAAATGAAAACAAAAACGTTTATAGAAATTTCCATCAAGGTGGCGTTTGTAAGCTAATTACTTGTTCGTTGTGACTGGCAAATTTAGATATGCCAACTCTGCCAAAAATCTACTATAATAAATTTTTTAAATATACCCGAATCTTAAAATTTGCAAACGAGTAGAATAGAGTAGCATTAGATTAAAGAATTGATTTCAAAAATAACATTTGAAATTAGTTTTAAAAATAGTAATTTGTAAGTAGCTTACGGGAATTCACATATTATTATCGAATACACATGTGTATGATATCGATTGGAACAGAGACAGCTGTTTCCAAATTGTTAATTATTGAATGTGAATGGCAATATCGTGGTCTGCAACACGTGCGCGTTTGTTATATTCCAAGTTCTGTTTTTAAATCGCAATTGCTTAAAATGTCGATCCGAGAAAAACTTTTGATGAAAAAAATTGTCAAGCGCGAGAAAATGAAGAAGGAGCTCTCGCAGAAAAAGGGCAAACCAAAACAGACAGCGCCTATACCACCAGCCGTAAAGGCGGGCAAAAACAAGCCGAAAAACCAGAAGCGACCTGTGAACGATGAAGAAGGTGAGTGAAAAACTAAAAACATTTCTATTTGCATATAATATAAAAGCATTTCATGCTCAGTAGATGACTTAGAAGATGATTTCCAAAGGCAACCGCAGCCCAAAGGCAAGAAGTCCCGACAGCAGAAAAAGAAGCCACAAATTGAGGTTGCCAACTCCGATTCAGAGTCGGAAACAGAAGAAGAAGAGGATCCGGAAAGCGGGAGTGAACCAGAGGATGATGAGGACGACGAGGAAATAGATAGTGAAGGTATATTATTTAAATCGATTATTCGAATGTCATGATTAATGATGATTCAAAGGCGAATTCGATTTGCTCTATAGCAGCGAGTTAATGTTGTCAAGTGCAGGCATGAGATACACTTCAAATGGAACTGAAAAGCTTATATTGTACACTAGACTACTTCAAACAAGACATTCATTAATGTGTTCAAAATACTTACAGCTGCAGACTCAGCTGATTCGGAGGAAGAGGACGAACCTGCGCCGGCCAAGAAATCCAAGCTACAGCCTAAAGCGGCAAAAAATACGGCCACAACAAATGGCAAAGCTACAGATGACGATGTGCCATTCACCGTGGAATCCTCTTTGGCGGCATTGGATTATCGGGACTCGGATGATCGCACCTTTGCCTCACTCAAAGGCGCCGTCTCCGAGGCCACACTGCGGGCTATTGACGAAATGGGCTTCTCTGAGATGACCGAAATCCAGGCCAAGTCTTTGACACCACTGCTCAAGGGTCGCGATTTGGTTGGCGCTGCCCAGACCGGCTCAGGCAAAACTCTCGCTTTCCTAATACCCGCCGTGGAACTGATCAATAAGCTCAGGTTTATGCCACGCAATGGTACGGGCGTCATTATCATCTCGCCCACACGCGAGTTGTCCATGCAAACTTTTGGTGTACTCAAAGAGCTGATGGCACATCATCATCACACCTATGGCTTAGTCATGGGTGGCTCCAATCGTCAAGTGGAGAGCGAGAAGCTGGGCAAAGGCATCAATATTCTGGTTGCTACACCAGGTCGTCTGTTGGATCATCTGCAGAACTCCCCGGACTTTCTCTACAAAAACTTGCAATGTTTAATTATTGATGAGGTGGATCGGATACTGGAGATTGGTTTTGAGGAGGAACTCAAGCAGATCATCAATCTGTTGCCAAGTAAGAGGAGTCTATTTCCAATGACAGCTTACATTTTATTTATCCAATATTTTTTGTCTTTAGAACGCCGTCAGACTATGTTATTCTCGGCCACACAGACCGAGCGCATTGATGCGCTGTCCAAGTTGGCGCTTAAGAAAGAGCCCATCTATGTGGGCGTCCATGATAACCAGGAGACGGCTACCGTAGAGGGGCTGGAGCAAGGATACATTGTCTGTCCGTCCGAGAAGCGTTTGCTGGTGCTCTTCACGTTCCTTAAAAAGAATCGCAAGAAGAAGGTCATGGTCTTTTTCTCCTCATGCATGTCGGTCAAGTATCATCACGAGCTCTTCAACTACATCGATCTGCCGGTCACGTCTATACATGGCAAGCAAAAGCAAACGAAACGGACCACAACCTTCTTTCAGTTCTGCAACGCCGAGTCAGGCATTCTGCTCTGCACGGATGTGGCGGCGCGTGGTCTAGATATACCGCAAGTTGATTGGATAGTGCAGTACGATCCGCCAGATGATCCACGCGAGTATATTCACCGAGTGGGTCGTACGGCACGCGGCTCTGGCACATCGGGACATGCCTTGCTGATGCTACGACCCGAGGAATTGGGCTTCTTGCGCTATCTGAAAGCCGCTAAGGTGCCGCTAAATGAATTTGAGTTCTCCTGGCAAAAGATTGCTGATATACAGCTACAGGTAGTCTTAATAACTATATATATATAAATGTACAGAAGTTATTATTCTCTCTCTTTTTACAGCTGGAGAAGTTGATATCGAAAAACTATTTTCTCAACCAGTCCGCTAAGGAGGCCTTCAAATCGTACGTGCGCGCCTATGATTCGCATCAGCTGAAACAGATATTCAATGTGAACACGCTGGACTTGCAGGCGGTGTCCAAGAGCTTTGGCTTTCTGGTGCCACCAGTGGTTGACCTCAAAGTAGGCGCTGCCAAACGCGAGCGCCCCGAGAAGCGTGTGGGCGGCGGTGGCTTTGGCTACTATAAACAAATGAACGAGAGGGGCGGCGGCCACAAGCAGCGCGTCTTCAAACAGGTCAATCGTGATCAGGCCAAGAAGTTTATGCGTTAATTCTTTAGCCTTAAGTTTAAAATCATGTGCTTTTTATATAGGTATATATGAACTTATATACCATAATACATATATATATTATATATTGTAGAGATGTGCATGTCTGTGGCTTAATTTCACAAATATCTTTGCATCATTTAACGCGAAAACAAATCAACCCATAAGGCGTTGCAACGCCCACACGGATGTGCCGCCGCCTTATTTGTTCGCTGTTTATTTCACATATATTTTTTATTGTCTCCGCCAGACTTTAACAAAGTATTTGGCAAGCTCTGCCCAATATGGCCAATGTGACTTTTTTTGAAAGTATATTAAATTGTTCCAGTTTGTTCAGTGCTCAGTGGCGCTCGAACTGTAACAGTTTGGCATGCCCGTAGTCCAGGTCTTAACCAATTGCGCAACGTTCAGTGCGTCGTCTTGCTGGCGCCCACAACAAATGCGGCCATCAATTGAAATAGCATTGAAGAGCTGTAAACAATTTTCTAATAAAACTCGTTTAACCCACGACACCCGCTTCACAGGCTGAGCCGCACGCTGTCCAAAAGACGGCATCAAGAAACTAATGCGCTGCCTAATCGAAGCAGCCAACCAGCTAGACAGACAGCCCGACAGCCGGCCATGGATAGCAACAAATTAATGCTAGTTTTTATGTTTCGTTCAAGCCTGGGCGTGGGCGACAAAACCGCGTACACGCCCCCTCCGCCAACATTAGCTGGTGGCATGCAACCAACGCCAACGAGCCAGCACTTGCTACAGCTGAGCCACTCAAGCAAATCTTGTGAATGAAATCGAATTATAGTTGATGCTAATGCTAATGCTAATGCCGATGCTGATGCTGCAGCTAGTAGCAGTTGAGAAACTTCATTCATGAATGCATGGGTGCCGCCAGCGTGCTAAATGGAGGTGATCTAGTTGCAGTGGAACGACGCACAGATGCCCTGTACTTACCCTCTGTAGATACAAATTTCATTAGTGTCCGATAAAAAGTTTCCATTCAACAGTTTTATGGCTTCAGCTGCCAGTAAAATGTAAATATTGGCGAAAAAGTTCAACTGCAACTTTTTCACAAATTTCTCGTGCCAAAAAGTTAAGCGATAACTCACAGTTAGACTTGAGTCGAGTTGAAAACTTTGTGTTTTGTGTGTGTAAACGAGTTGAGTATGTGAAAAGTGAAGTAACAAACATCGTGTGTTGGTATTGCACTAAAGTTTAACTACTCGAAACTATTTAAGTTATTTAAACTCGATCAAAAACATATTTATTAATTTTCGACATAAAACTAAAAAAGGAATTTAATCTAACTATTAAGTTTCTCTCATATGCACAGTCTTGATCTCTCTCTCTCTCTCTCTTATTCTCTCAGTATCTGTTTATATTTATTATCATTTACTAATTTCTAGTTTCTTTTTCTCTCTCTCTCGCTTACTATCTTTCACTATCTCTCTCTGTCTGTATTTCTCTCTATCTCTCTCTCTCTATGTCTGTATTTCTCTCTCTCTCTCTCTCTCTCTCTCTCTAGGTCTGTCTCTCTCTCTCTCTCTCTTTAACTCTATTTTTTCTTATTTTTCTCTCAAAATATCCTGTATCCTTCAATCATCATCCCTCAATATCTGAGCATCTTTATCTCTCACTTATTTCTGACATTCTTTCCCTCTGTCTGCCTCTCTTTCACTATGCCTCTATATGTCTGTAGTTCTATCTCTCTCTCTCTCTCTCTGCCTCTCTCTCTCTCTTATCTCACTATATCTGTCTATCTCTCACTATTAATAGTTTCTGTCTCTCTCTCTTTAACTCTCTTATCTTATAAGATATAAACTTTTTTTTTTTTTTTTTTTTTTTTTTTTTTCGTTTTTATTTCTTTATTTTGTTGCAGCTTATTGTCTTAGACTCTATAGCGCATTTAGCTCTAAACCTTAACTAATGGGAGGGCAGATATGCCAATTATTCTGCACTTGTAGCTACTATCTTAATTAGTTCTAATATTGTCTAGAGGATGCAATCTCTTCAGTCTTCGCCTATTGTTGTTTATAGCCAGGTTGCTTGCGAGATGGTTAGGATGCGCTGCAAGTCTGTCCGCGTATCTTGAACTGTGTCGCCCAATGAGTTCAGCAACTGTGGGAATTGCTAAATCCCTATGTAAGACTGAGTTTCTTACAAACCAGCTGGCTCCAGTCCATCTGCGTAGTGCTTTATTCTGCAGGGTCTGAATTTTGTTCCTTGTAGTCTTCGCCGAGGAGCCCCATAGAGAGATACCATATACGAAGGTTGGGACAACTATTGCCTTGTAGATGGCGGCCTTGCTGCTGTAAGACAACTTGCTTGAAGCTCTCAGCATCCAGTCGAGGGTTTTTAGCTTGCTTTTGCATTTTGAGGTTACTTGACTTATGTGCGCTTTAAAAGTCAGCCTTCTGTCAAGAGTGATACCAAGGTACTTTACTTTTGAGGCTTTGGGAATAGTGGGCCCCAATGCAACGCTTGGGCAATCTCCTCTTCTAGTGGCGAAGGTAGTATGTACAGACTTTTGTGCATTAATGGTGATACACCACCGTTTTGCCCAGCGTCCGAAAGAGTCCAGATATTTTTGTAGTGAGTCTGAAGCTTCTTGCGCAGATACGTGACGTGATAAGATGGCGGTGTCATCTGCATAGGTCGCTATGAGTACTGCATCTGTACTTCCTATATTTGGCTCGGGAGTTGGCATATCTCCTGTGAATAAAGTATAAAGTGTTGGGCCTAGAACACTACCCTGTGGTACTCCAGCCATAATTGGTCTAGTCAAGGATACTGTTTGCCCCCTTGACACTTGGAAGGTTCTTCCAATAAGGTATGAGGATAGCAACGCGAAAAATGGGGCTGGAAGGGTGGTCCTCACTTTCTGCAGCAGTCCCAGGTGCCAAACTCGATCAAACGCCTGTTTGATGTCTAAAAAGACGGCAGAGCAGTACATCTTTTCTTCAAAGGCTCCAAGGATATGGTGCACAACTCTGTGAACCTGTTCCGGTGTTCCATGCTGTCTCCTGAAGCCAAACTGATGGTTTGGAATGGCCTCCTGGCGTCCCAGATGTGTCAGTACTCGTTCCAGAAATATTCTTTCGAATATTTTGGAGAGTACTGGCAACAGGCTAATTGGTCTGTACGACTCAATTTCTCCCACGGGTTTGCCAGGCTTAGGAATCATCACAATCACGGCGCGCTTCCAGCAGGCTGGAAAGTGCCGGATGCGGAGCATGGCGTTGTACACCATAGTTATGTAGTCTATGGTGGAGTCAGGCAGTGCTCTAAGGACTCTGCCGTTTATTAGATCATATCCAGGGGATTTTTTTGCCTTCACTCTTCTGATGTGTTCAAGAACCTCTTCTTTTGTACATCCAGTTATCTGGTCTTCAGCTGGGAGGGGCGAGAGAACGATGTCTTCTGTTGCTTCGATTTCTGAGGCCTCTGCGGTAATCACCGGCGTGAATTGGTCTTGAAGGTGGTTTGCAAAAGCCTCAGCTTGAGCTTCGTCTCCAATGTGCCAGGAACCAGAAATGCTCCGAATGGGATGACGTCGTATTGGCTGCCGTTTGAGCTTTCTTGTAAATTTCCATAATTGAAACTCTGCGTCAGTGGGCGATTCAGCTCGTACCAGCGCATCGCTGATACACCTCTTTTGAAGCAGGGCGAGAGCAGCTTTAAGATGCCTCGTGGCTTCGTTGTACATGGATTTGGCATCAGGCGTGCGTAATCTTAACCAGCGTCTCCTGGCCCATCTTTTGTGTATTAGTAGGTGTTGGGCCTCCAAGGTGAGGGGGATGTTGTACGGAGACTGTTGTCTTGTTTGGCAAGATGGTGGGGCGGCTTGGTGCGCAGCTTTGACTATTTCTTCCTGCAGTTTGTTTGCTGCGTAGTCCACGTCTTCAGGAGTGTTAAGTTCCATTTCTATGTGCAAAGAGTAATGGAGCTCGCGCCTAAAGACTCCTAAATCTGATCCTGCTGGCAGTAGTTGTTTCCTAATGGGCAAGGGCTGTGGCTGCGCGTGGATTGTGACTATTAGTGGCAGGTGGTCAGAGGATAGGTCCAAGGATTCTTCAATGGTCAATTGCCGGTCACAGATGCCTTTGTAGACAGCGAAGTCGATTGCCGAGGGCCTGTGTCCATTAATTGGGTAACGGGTGGGGGCTCCAGTCGCCAATATGCTGAATTGTAAGTTTTGAATCGCCTCAAATATGACTTCTCCGCGACGATTCGCACTATTGCTTCCCCAAAATGGGTGCCATCCATTCCAGTCGCCGCCGATGAGGGTCTTATTCAACCTTTGGCCTAGAACCTGTTCCATGTGATGATCACACAGACCAGTGTTTGGCGGAAGATAAATTGACGCAACTTCGATCGCTCCAATAGACGTAGGCAGGGTGATGGCTGAGACCTGCATTGTTGCGTTGCAAATTGGCAGTAAAGGTGTATGCGGTATTGTTGCTCGTATGAGGATTGAGGATCCACCAAAGCAGTTTGCTCCTTCACCATGAGCCTGATAGTGTTCGTATCCGAAAATTTGTGTAGTGGGGCACTCATGAGTTTCTGTTATTAACATTATATCTATGTTTTCTTGTGAGAGAAACGCAGCCAGTTCCTGAGTCTTGTTTCTCAGGCCATTGGCGTTCCAGATACCCACACGTAAAGCCATTATTTGTAGGCAAGCTTGGTTATGATGGCCATTAAACTGTTTAGCATGGTTGCTTGTTGGGATTGTACTTCTCGCATCGCTTTGAGCTCGGCATTAATTGCGTCAAACTGACGTTGTTGTTGCTGAAGCATTTCAGTGAACAAAGTGTCACTTGTGGTATTCTTATTTGACGGTCCACCTCTAGCGGCCTGTGCGTAAGAAACACCACTAATAGGCGTTGCAAAGCTCGTGGCTTGGGTAATGCTCCGGGGCCTTGTAATTTCGGAAGCAGTACTCGGACCCGTAGACGGTGTTTGTGTGGGACTCCTTTTTTGTGCTGGGGATTGCAATTTGCGCAACCGCTTGTATACTTGGCAGCCCTTATAGTTGGC